AATCCACAAGCAGGGGTCACATCAATAAGTTAGGGAGTTAAGGCTGGGTCTTCAGATACCCCTGGTTTATTTCATCCACTAATGCAGACTGTGATTTTGTCCAGGGCTCATGGGGTCAGGGCACAAGCCCCAGACCGATATCTGAGAGTGTGGAGCACCAGGGTCCACAACCAGGTGCTGAAGCTAGGTGTTCCCGTTGTATAAAGCTAGGTGTTCCTGGAGCCTTTACATTGTGAGTAAAGGCTCCAGGAGGTTTGCCTACACCAGCGGTTCTCAACCTTTCATGTGCATCAGAATCCCCAGGTACCCACTCTGGGCTTCATATAAAAGTGACTGCCCCTGAGTGAGGTTCTCTGGGGGGTGAGGCTCCTAAAAGCTTAGTTTGCAAAACAGAGCATTCAGAACACGGGACCAGAAATGAACTTCCAGTAAACCAGGGCCTTTGTCAAATGAGGCCCCAGCGCTGGCTCAGGACAAGGTGAGCCTGCAGATAAAGGACATTTGTGGGGAGGGCAGCAGAAGGGAGGTGAAGTGCCACCAAGAGTGGGACACACGGACTCAGAGTCACCAGTACCTCTGGCATACCTGTCTGCTTAGATAGAAACAACTGTCCATTTAATATTCACATCACTCCTAATAAGGTGCAAACCTGCTTTTCAGCCACAGACTGATTTTAATCCCAAACTATTTTGAGAAGGGTTTATATACAAAATTGTCTAAGACTTGGGCCAAGAAAAGGGAGCCTATTCAACGCTAGCAGAACTAGAGCTCGTAAAGGGGTCATTCTTTTACCTGCAAAATAGACTCTTCTTAGAAATGTCTTCAAAAGGCTTCTCAAAAACTAGTTATGTGCTCTCACAGTCAGCTTTTACAGAGCAATTTTCTGAGAAAAATCTAGGTAATATCCTAGCACAGAAGGCATCTGATATCCAGAATCCATCTACTTCATGTCTCTTATTAACATGACAGCACTGAAATACTTCTTAGGAATTCGGTTAAAATATAGGAATTTCCCAACAACACAGCTCTTTGTAGTTTTATATACTCCCTTGCTATTGACCATAGCGATTTAAAGGGACAGCAACAAAGCTACTTTTTTTAATTGTGTGCATTGACAATTTGTTAAAAGTGTGTGCAAGCTAAGAGTAAACTGGTTTTCATACGGGCATATATGAGGAAAGTGCAGGGTGGCCTTTTATATCATTTCACTTAACACTTACTTACATGGCACTTTCTGTTTGCCAGGTACTGTTAGAAGTGCTTTAGAAATGCTGATTTATTGAATTGTCAGAATAGGCCTGTGAGAAAGGCACAACTACTACTATTGTCTCTCTTGAGAGAACAGGCTCAGAGAGATTAAGCAACTTGCCCAACATCACACACAGCTAGAGCTGACCTTCAGATCCACGCTTCTCACTCCAGTCTTTTATTAACCAGTCCGCTCTGTCAACGCTCTCGTTTTTCCTTCTTCCTAAAAGAATCTTAAAATCAAGGCTGGGTACTTAGAAACCAATTATCTACAGAAGATGGTAGAGTAAAAATGTATTTTTCCCCCTCATAAATGTAAGGCAAGAGGTTTCACTCCAACTTGAGGAAGTCCCTTCTTAACTGGGTGTGACAGCCATGCAGCCTGGGTATTTCCCCTAATTTCTAGAACTTTCCTTCTTCTCTCTTCCCTCCATTCCCTGGCCCCTTTGGTCTTCGTCTGTGTTACTCACTGCCCTAACCTTTCCTCCTGCCTCAAGACTGATCCAGTCTATTCTTCTCAGAGTTCAAGAAAAATGTTTCTAAAACAGGAAACTGTCGTCTCATCTATCTCAAATCTCTTCAATGTCACCGTTTTATCCTGTGGATAAAAGCCAGATAATTTAGCCTAACAGATGAAGCGCTTCATGTTCCTACCCAGTTCATTATCTTGCTCCATACCTGACACACAGTAGGTAGCCTTGTTCTTCCTCATGTACCCTTGACTTGAGCCATATTGAGCTGAGCTGTTTGCCATTTTATCCGTCCAGCTGCTTGCCTTCTGAAATTCCCTTCATCCCTACCCCCCTCCCTCCAACTGACATAGCCAGTCTTTACTAGATAATTCTAATGCATCCTTCAAAACCCAGTCATTTTCCTCCTACCCAAGAACTGATCTAGTTGCCTCTTCTCTGTGTTCATGTAATAGCAAACGCATTTTTCTGTACTGCCCCTTAGCAGTACAGGCTCCTCCCCCCGACCCTCACCCCACCCCATTGAGATCCCAGGATTACACAAAGTGTGATCTGCAAACGGCAGCATCAGCATCATGTGGAAGCTCATTGGATATGTAACTTCTCAGGTCCCACACAAATCAGAATCCTGAGTGCTAAGAGCAGAGCAGCACTGCACTGGCCCATACGCTTCTGAAAGCACACAGCACGTCTTTCTGACTGGTCTCTGGCTCGCTAGCGCCTGTCTGTCTACCTGGGATAAAGCACAGGATCAATGAATAAACGTTGGGTAAATCTTTTGAGTGATTCAGTAGAGCATATGTTGTGGGTTTTTTTGGCGTTTTTTTTTTCATTTCCTTCCTGGGGAGGCTAAATTATCAAGTAAACACTAAATATTCTTTAGCCCATTAATACCTCCAAATATTCTCAGAAATGGATTTTTTCTTTAATTTTAAATTGGTTGAGACTCAAGTATACTCTTTGTTTCAGGACTGTTATATATAAGGAGTACTGCAATAATTTAAAGTTTAGAGGTGGTTAAGACAAGCACAAAAATGAAAATTCCGTAAGATGCACAGAATGTCTCTCAAAAGTACATTTTTATGTATTCTACTGTAGAGCAGAAAGTGATGGCCTCTGCTTCAGGCTTTCAAAGATTATTTGCAGTTTCTTTAAATAGTCATTTTCTTTCGACTATATCTTGAGTACAGTAGTTTAGGGAGGAAAATGCAAATTGCACAGCCACAGTAAAGACTGCTACATATCAAACTATTATCTCATAGACTTCACAAAAGCCTGTATGCTATATGCTGCTCATAAATATCTTCTGCAGCACTTCAAGTTAGAATTAACAAGACCATTAGTATGACTTATTTTACAAATATTCAGGTATAATTCCACTCCTCTAAAAGAAATCGATGTAAAAGAGATAGTCTATCAAATATAAACTACTCACCAAAGTCATAAAAACAAAAAGTATGCTTTAATTTTGAAATATTTTTATGTAGTCTTGTTACATGAAGTAAACAAGGACATCATCCTTGAAATCTAACACAGCCCCTCCTCCATACCACTTAGACTGGTTACTACCAAGAGCAGCTTAAAGAGAAGTCAGTAGGAATAAACTAATGTTTAAGTACTAGTAGTTTAATAGGAAACTTATCCTGTACACAGACTTAAAGTACAGATTTGACAAAGTAAAGAGTGGGTGTTGTGTTTAACTATGTATCATGAAGTTGGGGATTTTTTTAGATGATAGAATATAACATGGCAGCATCTGCTATGAAACTGCTGTCCAGTGGACACTTAATAGGCAAACAGAAAACAATTATAAAGATAGCTAGGGTCTGTGTAAGTGAAAATTACAACTCTTCCCAGCACCCTCCCTCAAAGCTCAGAATAGGCAAAAGAGGTGAGATGCCAAGTTGGGGAAATGCACCCAAAGATTCTTCAGAGGTGCATCTACAGCTGCTGGTGTCTTATATTGCTTGGTGTGTGCAAGCCAACCATTCATTATCATCATCTCTTCCTCACAGATATTTTCATCTCAATTACCTGACAATGTCTTGGTTGAGATGCTCTTTTCACTAATGCATATGTTGGTTATGGCTAAATAAACTAGGAAATTCTGTTTTTGAAATTTTGCCCTGGTTTTAGTTTTGTGGGATGATATATTCTAAAAAGGGGAGGATAATAGGAAGTGTTGAGCACAGGGAGTAGCTGGTCAATAAATATAAATGGCTCAGAAAAAAAGGTTGAAACGTAAGAATTAGAAATCAAAAGTGTAGTCATCTATTGAAGCATCTCAAAGGCAGGCAAAGCCCTACTCTACCACTCAAGATAACCGCAGGTTTTCAGGGCCACTTGCTCTTATTTTGGCCTCTAAGTTTCATACTATTTAGTTCACCAGGGATGTTTTCCTCCTTTCTGTCTCCCCCCACCCCCATGTAAGCCCTTGCCATAGAGTTAACTGAGTGCCAACAATAGAGGAAGATAATTTCCAACTGTTTGGGGATTTGGAAAACAAACATCTGTGGATTAAGTTTAAATAGCAATAGAGAAGAGAGAATGGCTAAGACTTTCCTGGATTAAAGATCTTTCCAATTCAGGCTGTATCTGTAATTAAGCTGATGAGAATGTGTACATCCAGTTCCCTTATTCTTGGAAATGATCCCAAAAGTCTTTTGAGCAGGTGTGCTGTAGAAACTGAAGTGGTTAGCAAATATACAAGGTTTCACAATACATTCTAGTATGAAAGCAACATAGAAATAATATATGTACATGTGTATATACTTATGTATAAATGTGTGCATATTAATGTACTTGGTATGGGGAAATATAAAACTAATTGAGCACATAAAATTATATTCAAAATTCTCATATGACTTCTTAAACAAATTCCTAGACTTAAACTATTATAACCCGGCAGCAACAAGCAGCACTGGTCACATCCAAAGCTGTAATGCAGTATTACCCCCTTAGTACAGTCAGATTCACAGACAATTGAGCAAATATAGTATCAGAATGCCAGCCAATCCCAAATTCCATCAGGGGAATATAAATGTATCCCATTGACTCCCTCTCATTAACTTAAGAGACAGGCTTGGAACAATGCAAATGATTAACATATGCATTGTTCTCTTATGCTTTAGCTTCAAATTTTTATTTCTTTAGGGATCAGAGATATCTTAGCAAACAAATGCTCCTGACAAACTACCTCTGTACAATGTAGTGGCACCAAGAGCGCCAGCATGAAGTATTTTACTATTTCAAGGGACCTGCAAAAATGCTAAGGAAAACCAATCTATGAATCAGTTTTATTTTTATTTGCATTTAACATGATTATACACATTCATGTGTCTAACAAGATCTGCACTGTTACATTAAAAATACAGTACAATAACATTCAACATGAGGTACTTCATATTTATATATTTTCCTTCATAAATAATGCTGTAAGCTACTAAATTCAAGCACTCTGATGCCCAAATGGCTAGTGACTTGAATTAGTCGAGCTTATTTCAACACTTAAAAAACAAAAAAGACAGTTCAGTGCAATAATTATATAGAAATGAGACCGTTTACTTAAATACTATATTAAGATATGCTTAAAGAATGTTACATTAGAGCTGCTAGCCTAGTTCCCCGTTATCCCCAGTATGAATAACAGCAAAGACTGCCAGATACATTGGAAAAAGCATTTACAGAATATTTTAATAAAATTGTGTTTATACACTAGAGTTGCCTGCCTTGTCGGAACAATAGTTTCTTTCTATGTTTAAAAGCTACAAAATTTAAGATTAACAAAGAAAATAAAGCAAGCACATTAGCCTTCATTCCATGTTGCTCAAAATGCAGAAGGGAGACTAGGATTTAAAATTTCTTATCCTGAATACAATTTTCAAATTTAACCCACAGCTCTCGTCACCAGCCAATCAGGTGGTGTGTCTTTTCTTTAGGTAACAGTAACGATCATACAGGTTCTTCTGCACTCAGTGTACAGGATCTCATGGGGCGTTCACATGGAGGGCAGCTAGCTAACAGGAGCATGGACAGTGAGTGTTATGGAATGAACAATCTTCACTTTAAGGTTGTCACACCCACCTCACAATCTGATATGATGAACTTAGTAATAAACAAAGTTTCTTCTCCTCTGGCTTAAAAATGAGTGCCTTGTTATCAGGTATATAGTCTACCAATTTGCATGGTAGCTATGAATTCCTGAAATGTTTAATCATAATTTAAAAACAAAATCATTTGTACGAGTATTTTTTAAATTGAAAATGTATGTTTATTTCATAGATCCTTTGCCAACACTACTATCTGTTATTTCTCTAATAAGAAATAATTGTTAGATAATTTTGGAAAGTTGTCCTGGGAGTACTCATTTATAATCACCAGTAACAGCTTTTGATCATCTATGCTAACAGATGTAGGTAATGGCAAAGACAATTAAAACATTTCCCATAATCCAGTGTTTTCCTCCATCAGGAAAGCTGGCCAAAAGCAGCAAGCCCTTGTCTACAGGGGAAGAAGCGGCCCAGAAACACAGTGACTTTGGTAAGGGCAGTCACTGACTGGGGCCTTGCTGGGGCCAGCAGGGGGAACATTTCTGTCCCACCTCTCACTGGCCAGGCAGGGAGGAGACAATTCCTGAGTCGGCAAACAACCTGCATGCACATGGGTGCCCACGCACACACACCCACCCCAGGACTAACCCCTGGCTCCAGACAAGCCAGCTTCAGGCTTGCAGAGCAGGAGAAGGAGGTGGCCAGGGACCACACTCTGGGTGGCAAAGGAAGCCATCTCAGGATCACACTGAGCAGAAAAGCTGCCCAGAAACACATAGATACTTCAACTGGAAGTGAACACACTGGATACTACCAGGGTCATGGGCACTCAACCATTATAAGCCATCACTGAAGGAGAATGTTTTGATGAGCTTTTCCCTCCTTTGTTTACATTACCCAGGGACAAATAAGAGAGCTGGATGTGATGATGACGCAGTGACTATTAGGTCTGATCAAGTGCATCGCTCCAGACCATTTTTTTAAAACCCTGCAGGAATATATTGGCACTTTAGGATGGCCAGAGGCCAGATTCTAGCAGTCCAGGAACAAGACAGAATTATAATTCACTAAGAAGACAGCATGTGGTCAAAGTAAAACAGGGAAAGTATATTTCAGATTTAAAAAAAAAAAAATCAATGAATAAAGGTATCATTATAGTAACACGTGGTGCTACAAAACTAATTGTTTTTCATTCATCAAAAGAACTGTTTGGTCCTCTTTTCATAAAAAAAGGGAATAGGAATATATACAGTACGACTTGGAAAACAAGCAAATGGTGGGGATCAGAAGCTAAGTGGGGAGAAAAGTGTTTGACTTTTTCAAACTGTGCATTTTATTGTGCCATCAATTAATCCATTTGTAGTATGGGACTTTTTTAGGTTTCCTTTCTAAAATGTTTTAGTTTAAAATAAATAGGCCTGCAACTTTTTTCTAATGACAAAACTTTATAATTTAGTTACTTCTAAAAAAGTGTCTATACTGCAATGCTTTGTCTTCTCATCTATAGAGAAAATCTGCTTGTGGCAGAAATCATGGTCTAAACAATCATCCAAATTCTTATTTTCACACCCTACACTGACACTTTGCAGTGTTTAATATGTATCAATCTTATGAATGTAGGATTTAAGAAAAAGCCATTCCAGAAGTAAAATGTTTAAAAGGAAAATAAAATAAGAGCTAAACATAATTACTGTCTACTTTCTAAATTATTACTTATTATGAAACAAAACTTCTTTCAAAATTGTACACTGAGGTTTATCTGTTTTTTTTTGGGGGGGGGGCGGTGTTCTGTTTAAAAATAACTCTTGTTATTATTATTTTAGACTATTTACTTCTATTTGTCAAAATAAAGCCCTGAAGGAAATCTGAGGTGATTAAAAAATTTTCTTAATAGGGACAGCACTGGGAGGTCAATGGGGCAGTTGGAAAAGAGCACACATTCTCCCCAGCTGCACAGACAAATGCAAATCTAAAAACCACAAAGCCCTAATAAGAACTTGGCTCTTTGAAGCATAGAGTAAAAGCCGAATGCTGCATTTTTGCCTGTACATAATTAAAAGGTTGAAAGAAATTAGAAACTGCCTACAACTTCATTCATTACAAATTACCTGCGCAGACCATATATCTGCAGATAAGCTAAGCATCAAGCAAGTAGGAACCAGATGTGCACCTCAGAGCCCACTCTGCTTCAGGAAGTGTTTTCAAGCATAGAATATAAGTTCAGGAATCTGCCCTCCCTGTACCCCAGTGCCATTGGTGCTATCTGAGGAGCACTGAAACTGGACAGTCACTTTGCCACACTGAACCTCTGTCATGCCTTCCTGTCCGAAGTAGCTGAGTTCATTGCCGTCCAGTATCACGCTGGCTGTGTAGAAGGTGTCTGGCTCGATCTGCACCGGATACTCAAACCACACAGGGAAGGTATTGCTGGAGCCATCGGAGAAGTACTTGCTCAAGTTCTGCCCCAGGACAACGCCCTGCCGTTTGAGTTCGATCTTGGCACTGTACTCCGCAGAGCCACAGCTGGAGCCATACAGCCCAAAGCCCGCGATGAACACTCTCTTATCCACCGCAAACTGAATGCTGTCACAGCGGCCCCGATAGCGCCACTGGTTGCTCCGATAAGCGCAGGACTGGAAACGGTGACAGCGCTGGGGGACAAGGCCCTTGCGGGCTTTACTCACAAACTGCAGCTCGGGCTTCTTGGCCGCAGTGTACCAGAGGAAGATATCATTGGTCTCATTGAGAGTTAGAACTCCGGACTGTGCAGCACCATTTGCAAAATCATCCAGAGCCATTGTAGGTATTCGGATCAAGTAAAGTGCCTTTCCGAGGACCTTGCGTTTATTTTCAATGCTCAGAGCTAGATCTTGCCGCTGGCATTCTACTTCAGCCCAGTTGAGAGCTGCCTCAAAAACGACGATTTCTTTGGCATTCAGAGTTTCCCTGCGGAGGATACTTTCCAGTGTCTGGAAGTCGATGTCACAGAATCCCTCAGACTTAAGAGCTAGCTCAGCCTGGGCGTCGATCACCTCCCAGCAACGCTGGGTCAGGTCTGGCTCCTCGAACAAGCAGCTCTGGGAGAGAAGCACACAGGCGTTCTTGGCACTCAGGCTGGTCTCCAGGAAATTAACGCAGGCTCTGGCAAGGTGAGGGACAATGTACTTTTTGGCAGCATAAAGAGTAGCCAGCACCGTGTCAGCAGCCAAGTCAATTTCATCACAATAGATATATCTGAAAGAAAAAGGACAAGCACGTAAATGGAATTTTCACAAAATGAGTGTGTCCAGCAAGAAAAGATGCAACTACTTTCAAGCTGGTTCAAAAAAAGTCATCTTAGGTGACAAAAAATGATTAGGGATTAAAAAAACATCTGAAATATGTCCTTAATTTAATATCTCAACTCGGGTTACATATTAAAGACATTAACTTTGTGTTATCATTCTAGCCTCTATGCATTTAATAAAAAAATAAAAGATATTAGAATGGCATATCAGAGATAGTTAATATTAAAAAACTAGCAAAATTCTATTACATGTACTTTTTTATATTTAATGAAAAAATAACTCCCCTGTGTTTTAGAAGCATTACATGTTTTACTTTAAAATTTTTCTGAACATACAGATGGAAACAAATGCTTTTAATACTATAATATTAGCAATGTTTCCATCTTGATACTTTTAATTATGACTTGGATTTCTCCTAAACACAAAATAAAACCTGAGATTAAATGAGATATTTTTCAAGTAGTTCCAAGTTCAATGGGTTATCAAATATGGACTTCAACACTCTTTTCTAGTTACCTTTACATAGAATCTAATGCAGGCTTTGTAATTGGCGTTATTTTTAAACTCTAAACTTTTTGTTTTCTCCCACACACTTTCCACCTTCAGAATTAAAGAATATATTTAATTAAAAGACAAAGTAAGAAAGCCTAAATATGCACTACTCCTGTGATTCTGTAATGCTTCGGGGGACACTGCAGTCTCCTACAGTGGTATGTAAAGGCAGAAATCACATGCTTCTTTTAGATTGCTATGGTTCACCAAGTGAGTCAGAGAGAACTACATATGGGTGAAAAATACATGCTGATAAAACTTCATTTTTAAATCTTTCTAGCTAAGGTACACATACAACGATGGCAATGGCAATAAGAAAAATGTCCACAATCACAAATGAAACCGGCATTTTTGATCCCAGAAAGCCCCTCCTCTTCTCTGATAGGCTAAGCCATCTACCACTGGCAAGACCTCCTGACAAAACCCTGCAGCTTACAGATGTTGTAGCCAGAGAACCAGGACCTTGGGGAGGCTTCTGAAGCAGAGTCACCACTCTGGCTCTTACCCTGAGCAGTCTTCCCTTTTCCTTGACAACCCATTGAAGGAATACTAGCTTACTCACCCAACATGCAGACATGAGGAAAACCTGGCCTCCTCTGTCCTTGAAACAATGCGTTACTGATCAACTACAGCATGACAGCAAATGGCATCTTACTACGTCTCTGATTTTTACCACTTTACATGGACAGCCTAATTTTAAAAAGCTACATCAAGACATATTCTAGGCAATCCATTTATGAGAAAAGATGCTTGTCAATTGACCAATCAAATTACTTAGGTGAAATGTAACTCTGTGATCCTCACTCATGTTTTCTAATTGTGTATATATCTGGAACGACACAACACTCTACTCCACTGTAGTGAAGTCAAAATGCCGAACCAGCAGCAATCCCCTCTGCAACAGATAATATACAAATGGCTTGACTTGCGAAAATAAAGAGAATCTTGCAAGTAAAATTGGTTCCTGTACTTATATCTCTAAAAGATTACAAAGCAGTTAGTTAAAAAGTGGTAGATTAGTTTACATTTTGGTACTTCACATGCTCACTTGCCTTTAACTTCCCTACCTTCCACTGTAAAAGTTTAAGTCAGCAGCAATTAGATTTCAAAATTATAATGCAAATAAATAATTAAATTCTTTTTAAGTTCTAGAATTCTAACAGTAAACTGCTTGGCCTCTCTGGCTATCGTGTTCAAGCCTACGTTGTTCCCATGGCCTTAAGGTTAACGGCTTCTGCTTAGTTTTACATACAGACATGCTCATCATTAGAGGAATTCTGCTTGTGACTTTAGTTGTGCAAAGAAAGCTCCTTGCCGTATACTGCCTCTCCCAAGGAGATGAAGTATGTACAAAAACAATATTTACCACAGATTTGCAGGAACCTAAACTTATGACAGACTCACATCAACTAGAGTCAACAAGACTAAGAACTAAGAAGTTTCACAATCTTTCTTGAACCCCTGCTGGTGCCCAATTGCCTCAGTCATCAATCACCTCTTGCCTCTCCTATTTCCCTCTTCCATAGAAATAAAAGAAGCCCGAATTCTGTGCTTTCTTAAAATGGTTCTTTAGGATGTTAGCATCTTCTTGGCTTTCTGAATGAAGTCACTGTCTTTGCCCCAACTCCTTGTCACTTAACTCACTGGCTGTCATGCACTGAGCTTGGACTCGGTTACAAAATTAACTATACTACTTATTTTTTACTAGGTCAGCAGAGATATATAGTAACATTTTAAACATTTGTGGGATTATTGTCCAACTTGTTGACCCACTTGAATAATTTTTTTCAACAAACATTATTATTTATTCTAGTGAGCTGAAATTCCTATAGCAGCTGATAAGTTTGAACTCCAATATACCTGGTGTGCTAAAGTACTTAACAAAGAATTATATAAATATGATTTAGAATAATTGAATTTTAGTAACATGGTAGGTTATCACTGCCTAGCACCAGTACATGTAAAGAAGTGGATTCTATTTACTTCATTAACATGGATTCTCAAAGACCCACCCATAAGATATAAAACTATTTTTAATTAATATATACCTTATAGCTTTATATTGCTATATTACCAATTAAAGTTATTCTATATAAATATATAGGGAACTATAGAAAACTATTCATCTCTCTCAAAAATTTCTCCTCTACTATCACATGCAAGCGCTTCTTATCTTTGAGAAAGGGTATCTGATTTTATGTAAGAGTATACGTATGTGTATGTGCAAATATCAGATAATATGTTTTATATTTGCGGGTAGGTAACAATAAGTCCTAAAAAACGGAGGAATCTCTTAACTGGTGGAGTTAAACAAGGTATATATTTCCAGAATTGTGAAGCAAAAATGTACTTTGCCTTTAAAGAGTTCTTCACACACAATGCTTTTAGAAAGGACATCCTCTATTAGATAATGCTTATGCCAGAAAGTTATTTTTCCTTAAATCAAATCACAAGCACTTGCCCCCAAATCCCATGCTATGGTGTGATTATAAACGACTGCATCACTCCTCGTTTTTCCAATGAAAGATGCAGTTTTCTCCAAAAACATTTACAAGGTAAGCAGCACCCTCTTTCTTCATCACTCTCCCTTTTCTGTTACACAGAACTTAAATTTAACTGTGAAACCAGCAGAGTACAAATACAGCATAAACAAACTCCCCAAACATACGAATGATGCTTACTTCAGCATAGCGAGAAAAGCAGCAGGTTCGACATCTGGTATACGGATTTCATCTTTGTCCTCAGCAAGTTCTCCGTAAAACATTGCATGGAACACAGAGCTCCCAACAGCCAAAACATACTGTGGAGAAAGGGAAATCTTATTTCATGCTCTAAATTGAAACATTTTCAGCAAATCAACCCAGAAAAACAACTCTAAGCAATCAGGTTTAGTGGACACGGAGCACCTCTACCTGCTCTTTTGTCAAAGCTGAGGTACAGTGTATCTTGCTGTGACAGTATAAGATAGATGTTCATGCAAATCAGTCTCTATGCTGCTAAATATCTCAAGGCTTTAACAGATTAATGCACAAGTTCCCTCATTACAAAATGAATACAAGAAAAGCTTATCTGACTGACTTCTAGGGGAAGAACAAACATATGACTTTCCTAACCTGTCACAACAAGTCCCCATGACTGGAGAGTTAAAAGGGCATGTTTTTTGTGCGCGCTATAAAGCAGGGTAAAAGGAACAAAGAAAAAAAATTAAGCGTGGCCAAAGCCCGTTGGAGAGGCTGAGCTTTCATAGTGATGGGGTGTAACATGCACTGCCTGCCATCAGCAAGCTGCCCACCCCAAATTCCAGGCTGGCAGACAGGGTCCCTCTTTGTGAATCTCAGAACTAAACTGGTAATGCAGCTGTTGCTTACTTTGTGTCCTGGCAACCGCTGAGTCCCACCTGGTGGCCCAACCACAAAATGTACATCTGCCATCAAATCATTATTGAACATCACCGCATTTCTATAAACAGAAGCAATTCATTAATTCACACAGCCAGCGTTTTTAATACCCCCTCCCCAATGTACAAAACCCACAAAAGATTCACAAGCTAAGCAACAATTTAAAAAGTTCGGGGTAAAACTACAAATAAAGGTTCCAACTAAACAACTGTGTTTGTAATCATTGCAAGCACATGGGAAGTAACTGAAGTTAAAAAAAAAAAAGTTATCCAAACTTTTCATCAGACTAAGGATAAATAAAGGGTTTCTGTCTTCTGTGGCCCACAGACATACCCCTGTCACTTAAATGTTACAGCTTGCAAAAACGTTTTTATCTAAGAGGAAAACAGCTGTACTGTTTTGGAAAAGGCACAGGGCAGTTTTCCATTACCAATAAAGCTGCTGGGAAAAGAGGAAACAGAGATTTATGTTAAAATACAGTATGGGTTGTGCAAAAGCAGAAACTTCAACACAGGAAAACTTTTAAAGTAAATATGCTGGCCCGGCACTTACCTTTCCCTGATGGTAGGATAAAGACCCTGCCAATTCGGGGCCGGAATAAGGTTGTTGTTACTGAGGTTCTGCTGGTGGTACTGCTGGACAGTGGTGCTGCTGGAGTTGGCTGGCTTTTTGCGGGGAAATATATCAGCAGCCATCTTCTTCTTTTTAGTCTTCAAGGTAATTATTTCATAACAAACTGGAGGCAACTTGCTGCTGCTGCTGCTGCTGCTGCTGCTGCTGCCGCTGCCGCTGCCGCTGCTGCTGCTGATGGTATTTGTTTTCTTCGAGCTTTTCTTGGACCTGTTCTTTACCGTCTCTGGAAGCATCAAGAAGAAGGTGAGACATTTCATGTTCTTTTCCTTGTCATCTACCATGAGTACAGGATGTCTCTTTAGAGTTAGATATCCCAAGATGGTACAAACATCAAGGAAAAGAGGCTGGCATGAGCTAAGATGTTAACAGAAACCAACAAGCTGATATTTTGCTTCTTTTCTCAGCCAGGCAAGGTGACCTTTCCACTATGTTGAATAGTAACTGGCTTTAAGTTTTATCCAGTACTCGGTCTGTTAAATACATGCCCGTCATGATTCCTGTTTCTCTTACTTGCTCATAAAAATAACCTAGTTTCCTGGATCACCTGAAACTGCTACAGTGAGCGGAGATGACAGGCAGAGAGCCTCAGCACTTGTTTTCTGAATTAGGTTAGCAAGACGTGCTGGAGCCGTGCGAGTCTGTTCAGCCGGCTGAAGTTGTGTGGTGAATGGATCTGAGGAGAGTAGGTATTACAGCCCTGCAGATGGAGTCAGACAGCCAGTGCTCGGAGCCAATAGCTGAAGTCACCAATCATGATTGGACCAAGCAAAACAGTGACACCTATTGTAACGTGCACAGTTCTGGTATTAAAGGAACAGCAGTTGCATTCTCTTGTCTACTGTATTATTGCATATTTAAATAAGATAAGCAACCCATGAAATACATTTGAAAACAGAAAGAGTTTGTGCTCACAGATTTCTCTTTAGTAGATGTACATTTTTATTTCCCCAGTTAAGCAGGATCAATTAACAAAGGGTAGGGACTCATGTCTACTCTATTATCACTAATAAAATCTTTATCCGGCAGCATTTAGTTTCAAATACTTCAAACAAAATTCTCTATCCTACCAGCTACGAAGAATTATTAACAGCAAAACCATACTAAACATACTTATCAGAGCTTAATGGAAAAAAATGTTATTTTTCTTTTTCCAGTCTCTGAATGTAAATTATAGTACAAAAGAGGGAGGGAGGGAGGGAGGGAGGGAGGGAGGGAGGGAGGGAGGGAGAGAGAGAGGGAGAGAGAGAGAGAGAGAGAGAGAGAGAGAGAGAGAGAGAGAGAGAGAGATGAGGTCATGTATTCATTTTACCTCCCAGTGTTTTCTAGCTCCTATGATGATTTTTGACAGGAGTCCCAGATCACAACATACTGTTAATTATACTAAGATTATACCAGTAAGCTTAACAGCACTGAAGCACAGACAAATTCTAGATGCAAAAATAAGATTCAAGTGAGACAAATCTAAATCTAGTAATCAGTGTTTCAAGGTTGTAATTCACTACAGTGTGGTGATTGCAGAGGGGGAGGGAGATGGTGGAGGTGGAAGAGAATATAGGGGGGGATAGATGGTGATGGGAAAAAAAAGAAGAAAAAAGAAAATGACAATAAATGGAGGAAAGGGGTTATAATTCACTAAAAATATGTCAGATGGTGCCCTGTTTAGAATTTCAAAATGCAACTGAAATACTATGGCTACATTTAGCCTTGTCATAATTTTAAAGATTATAACCCACAACTTCTAACACAAAGCAAGTAATATGGCTATTCAACATGATAAATGTTCTGATGCCACCTGGTTAAAAATGTAAACAGGTTCTCTCTACTTTGAATCAGAAGCCTATACACTACTATCTGTTTTTTATAGACAAGAATCCTCCAACAATGTCTAGCTTTAGTGGGCTAAGGAAAAACAAAAACACCTGCTATAGGTTCCACACATGCTTATTATTTCCCAAAGGGGGACTAATGAGGAGATTTAATCTCCCTCCTATCTATTTGTCCCCAGTGCAGCAGCCATTTCTACCCCCCAAGTGAATGCACCCTTTATGGCCACATCCCTGCTGGCTGCACAACATTCATCTGAATAAGGAGTTCAGGACAGAGTGATGGTTCAACAAATGGGGGCCTCGACTGTCATTATGACTGATAATCTACCAAGGATAACATACCAGAAATCAGACTTCAGATCCCTAGGACCCTAAGTCATTAATGGATCCAAGGAACATCATCTTTACTGTCATTGTTACTCTTAAAACTGTTAGCGAAGCCACTGCTACATAAAAGAACCACAGTCTTTATTTAGTAGGTTATTCATCCCCATTTTACACGGACCCTAAAAAGCTGCTTATTTATTACGATTTTCATGTTTCCAATTACATGGCTACCTACACTCATATACACAATTTCAAGTCACCTTCAAACACATTTTAACACACAATGTGTGTGTGTGTGTGTGTGTGTGTGTGTGTGTGAGAGAGAGAGAGAGAGAGAGAGAGAGAGAGAGAGAGAGAGATCTAGAAATTAGCTTTTCAAAGCATGAAAAAGAAACAAACGAGTTTCTATTTGAGCTAAGTGTTCAGGATATGGTTTTTTAAAATCAAAGGATTTCTCTCTTGCTTAACTGCTACTAACCTTTTGACACCACCCTCCTAGGAAGCCACCATGACAAGGAGCTGGTCCTTCTGACAGGTCAGACAGCAACCATTAGAATGGAAAGGGAAACAAGCTGCTTGAGACTAACATAGTATTAACTGGCAGCTGGACAGTCAAAATAGAAAAAGCATAAAAAGCAGACACAAGAACCTAGAAGACTCTGTGGCTTTTACTCATTTTGCAGATAGTTCAACACTCTTTACTAAAAAAGCCTCCAACAAACGCTGCTCTTACACCAATCAAATGAAGAAAAATGTGCACACAGCCCAGTTACGAAAGAAAATAATGTCTTTTAGAAAATGTTCTTTCTGAAAATTGGAAAATTAAGTTTTGTGGAAAATCCCAAATCTGCTAGTTAGATGAAGTAGTGCTAATTCTGAAGCACCTAGAACCGGGCTATGAAGAGGGGTTTATTACTTATAGATGTGGGGACTGACGAGCACGGTTGTTTACAAAGATAGGGTCCTGGCTACAAAAAGTAATCCAATTAAAAAATAAGAATGGCATTTAAATTCTTGCAGCCACTTTGAAAGCATGGAAATGTTAATAAAATCGAGACCATGGAAAACTTATGGAGAGCTACCTTTCCTCACCAAGGTCCTTGCTACGGAAAGTTGGGCCCAAGGAGCAGCAACAGGAGTACGGTCTGCAGGCCCGTTAGAACCCAGATCTCAGTCAGATTCTACATCAGAATCTGCATTTTACAAGACCCTTCAGGTGAGCTTATGACATTGAAGTTTGAGGAAACCTTTTTAGAAAACTAAGGAATGTTGTCAGGTCTACCCAATTATCCAGTATCAACCTCTGGCATCGCATTTTGCATTCAATTATCAAGTGAATGAAGAAATAATTCAAAATAATTTAATTTGGTTTGGACATGAAATTTAATAACCTTCATGTCTTGTTATGAAATTCTTCTGATTAAGCTCTAAGTGTAAACATTCAGGGGTGTAAAGAGCTAACTGAGAGCCCCCCCAAAATTTTTCAATTCTCTGGAAAAGAAACTCAAGTCCAGATTATTTTCAAGGACAAAAACAGAGATGATTTTAGGGGAAATAAAAGGGTCAAAAAATACCAATTGTGAAACAGATGCTACTTGATATTTTTAAATAACCTACTTCACAATTTTATTTTAAAAAATTAGTGCTGTGGCACATCAAAATTAGCAACCAAGTAATCTGGTTCAGCTCTAGCTCAGCCACTAAAAACTAAGGTTAAGTGTGTGTTGGGGACTGGGGGGTCCTGAACAAATCATTTAGCCTTTAAGCGCCTCAGTTTCCTCGGCTACAAAACAAAGAAGTTCATCAAGAATAGATGAGTATTTCTCAAACTCTACACTCAATCCACAGCAAGACATGCATTTTATATTTGGACTTAGGGACACACACAAACACAAATGGAAGGGCAGTTCACAAAATTAACTCTTAACCTGCTATGATATACTCGGAATTTTTCTGTTTTGCTATTTTTTCTTTTCCTTTGTTGGTCTTGGTTCATTCCATTGGTTTCATGGTCACAGTAGAGTCTAAGTAACAAACCAGATTATTTCTAAAGGCTTTTACAATTTAACATCCCAGGATCTTTTTCTATGAAGAATTTGGACTAGGGCCAACCAGTTGAGGAATAAGGCAAGACTGAATCAACTTCATGGAGCCCATGAAACCCCTCAGGTTGCATGCAAAATTGGGAGTGTTGCATTTATTTTTCTGGGGGGAAAAAAGCCATAGCTCTCATCTGTCTTTCAGAGTAATCCATGACCCAGAACACACACACAAAAAAATGTTATAAAAAACATCTAGGATTGATTTGAATACACAAAATATTCATGTCACTTTATTCTCTGCTTTAATTTCTATAGTTTATCTCATTAAACACAAATTATGACTTCTTCCCCCTCTCCTTGAAATTAAATATAAATAGTTAAAGCCTCATTTATTAAATTTGTAACCCAGAAATACCACACACTGGATTGAAGGGTAATAAAGGATACCAGCCATATTATCTATTGTCAAATCTCACCTCTAAAATTTCTTGCCAACTAACACTGTATCAGTTGTCCCTACACTTCCTAAATTTTAAGGCTATTATGAGAGAGCCATGGTTAATCTCCTCTAATGAAGTAAATAGGTCAAGAAGCCCATCAATCTTTTATGAGAGTATTCTCCAAATACAACATGCTGATCATGCAGTGTATTACGTGTTAGGTACACAATGGTGAGCAAATTAGGAATTAAGCTTAAAAGGTTATTAGCTAATAATAGTGTTTCAGATGATGTTTATAATTGACAGAGAATTCAATCACCTTTATCTCTTTTCAGTCAATTCCCAATAATAACAAAATTATAAATTTAAGCTCATTAAATCATCCTCTTCATCACTGGGAGGTTTGCCCAACATCCTACCTTTATTTAGTAGAATCTTGTATGCTCTGTTTGGGGACTTAAGTAAGGTTTGGAACTAAAAGGGACTCCAGAAATCATTTCATGCAAGCCTGCCCCACAAATAAGGTAACTGGATGTCCAAAGATTAAGAGATTTGTGAAAAGTCCACAGTTAAGTAGTGAGACCATGTCAAGACTAGAATGCAGATTTCCTGACTGCTTGCCCAATTTTGTCTGTTCCACTCACTCTAATGTTCACCCATAATCATTACCCTACATCTTTACATAATGCTGTATCTTTTTATTTCTAGTCTTCTTTAAAATAAAAATATATGTGCAAAATTTATAGACATGAAAGTCATGAACAAACTGCACCCTGCAGGAGGCACACTGTAGGAAGAAGGTTAGAAAGATACTTTCTGGAAAGAAATGGAGAGGAAGTGCAACAAGGACCATAAAAGCCCTGGTCCATGAGCAAGCTTCTCAAAAACAGAGGAGGCTCTCTACGTAAAATGAAAGTTTGAAAACCAGCTATTCCCAGTTAACACCAACAAATCCTATGTTGACAATGCTGGCTGCTCTTGTTTAACCAGTTCTAACTCTGGACTCTTTGTCTGGACTTGTATTTGGTTTATTACAAGACACCTCTGCAGCTACAGCAGTGAGGTTAACGAGGTTTAAACAAGGTAGTATGGAC